AGTACAAAACCGATCTACGGGAATCATTAAGTAGACGCCGTCCTAGAGGGCCTAATGGGAGGATAGCAACGCATGGGCACTTAAAATGCACCATTTCTCTTTCTAGCTTAACTCAGGTAATTCGAAAGTTGCCAAGCAGCTGGATGAGTGGCTAAAAGTGGCTCTCCACGACCTCCCAGACCAATGTCCTCTTCTTCCTCCTTTACCACTCTTCTGCTTGGATTTTATTGCTTCGATCGCTCCTCGTGAATGCTAGCTGAACCAGGTCATCGAAATTTGCGAACAGCAACGTCATGCTTAGAATGTCAATGTATATAAACGACATAGTTCACGAGCAGTAAACAGTAGAATGCCACAGACGACCTTGTAAAGTGCCAACACATTTCTAAATTGCATAGGGTGTTAATAATAACTACCGCTATATGCCATGTTAATTCCAGTAACATGAATAATAGTAGCAGCTTCCATTTAATGTTTGCCCACAAAGCATCAGGTATTATGCTAAGTGCTTTACATGTATACATTTACTTAATCCCCATAAAATGTTGCTATGGGTGGCACACTTCTCCCCTTACAGAGAGGAACCAGACTTAGAGAGGTAGTAGGTAGCAGAGACACGATTTGCTCCCAGGTCCGTCTGTCTCTCTGATGCTAGTTTCTGCTCATCATACCACACTCCTCATCTCATTTCACCCCACACCACCTCTGTGATATAGGACATAGTATCCCTATTCTACAGATTAGGGGCCCAGACATAAAGAAACTGCCCCAAAGCCACATGGCCTGGTGAGCAGGGTCCAGGAATCAAACTCAGGTCTTTCTGACCTCAAAGCTTTGAGGAGATTTCCTTAAAGCTCCTTCCACAAAATACCATGTTTCCCTGAAAATAAGACCTACCCATAAAATAAGCCCTAGCAGGATTTCTAAGCCTTTGCACAATATAAGCCCTACCCCGAAAATAAGACCTAGTGATGGGCGTGGCTACGCAGCGTATCTGCACAACCCATGCATTTCGTCACGGAGCGGTAAAGAAGGGTAAAGAAGAGGAGCAGCCCTTCTCATCTTCCCCATTGTGACAGCTACTATCCCAGAGGGGACTGGAAAGGTGCGGGCAGCCCCACCATCAAGGTCGGCTCCCCTGTCCCATCCTGGCCATCCTGTGCTTGCTGCGAGCTGAGGCTGTGAGGGGAAAATAACACATCCCCTGAAAATAAGCCCTAGGGCGTCTTCTTGAGGAAAAATAAATATAAGACCCTGTCTTATTTTCGGGGAAACATGGTAGTGGTAGCAGGAGACAGAGAACAGTGTAAGGGCTTTGCGTATTTTCTGCCTAATTAGAAAGCCAAATTAATATTTCTCAAGGGGGCACCAAGACTGTGAACCTTTTCTTTGCCGAGCATTGCCCCTCATTCCCCAGCATTCGTTTTGCCAGAGAAAACGGGTCCTATTTTTCTTTTCAATGTGTCTGTTACTTGCAGGAAGACCCATGTACAGCTCATTTGTTGCTATTAAATAAAGATGAAATTATTTTAAGCAAAACGAAGTTATAAAATATGTATTTCTTAAAGCCCCATTTGAATACAACAGCTTGCTATTCTTGCCCGAAGTAAGTGCCAGCGAGGAAAATGAAGGCGATCAAATTACCCTCTCTCCACAGGCAAAGGGAGCCTTTTCAGATGTGCTTTGAGGCTGCCTGCAGTGCCCATCACCTATTGATAAAGCCCGCTTTATTTCACGGCTCTCAGTTCTTTTCTTTTCACAGGCACTAAATTCCACATCACAAAGTTAAAGAAAAAGTAATTAAGGAGAAGGATTAACGATTGATCGGCCTGGAAAATTAGAAGTTCATCTGCCTCCCCCTCCACCATTCCTCTACCCCACACCCTATTTTTCAAATCAAGCTGGCTCTGGGTACAAATTAGAATAATCCTAGGGAAATTTCTGACTATTTCTTGACCAGTTCAGAAATTAATGAGAAGAATGCCCCCCGCCCGTTTTAATTATGCTGACAAAACAAACCTGTTCAAAGTCGGCTGCGATGACAAGGTTTGTGGGGCCTTCCGCCTGCGCATGTCTGGAGGAAGCTGTTCTTCCCGGGAGCCTGGGGGTGCATTCCGAGAATGTGCGAGGAGTGGAAACAAACCCCACCCCAAACGAAGACCTAAGGCAGGCACAGGTCTCGCGTGCTTTGAAATCCACAGATATACAGTCACCCTACCTCAAATTATGAGCCTATTATGTGGCGTAGGAAAGGAGACCTTTTCCTAACTGCAGTAATCATCAAAACACGCAGACTGGTCCCAAGATCATTTGAGAAAAACAACAGATTATGAATGCAAAGCCTCATTGAAGGTGCAGCCAGGGTTCCATCCCCGAAGCACTCCTTGGCCCCACAAAAACTGGAGGTTCGATCAAGATTTCCTATTAGACATACTGTTCTTTAAAGGGGCTTCTTCAAAGCTCTCACTTGATTCCTGCAATTATTTATGGGGAGAAGCGATTGAGCTTGCAATTAGCGAAATGAAAGACAAGTAAATAATTGCTTTTACTCACGGTTGATTGACGCCACCATTTCTCACACCTGCGAGCGCGACATGTGCATGACTTTGAAATATGTACCCCAAATACCACCACTAGGAAAGAGTTGTTGACTCCCAAGTGGGAGAACAGAGTTTTACCAGTGGGTGCATAAAATGGGGTTGGGTAGCAAGACAAATTTAGGCAAAATAAGGATTTCAAAACTACTTTTTGAAAGCCACCCCTGGAAAATCCAGGGCAGCATCATAAAGCATGCCAACATTTCAAACTGCCTTCTCTTCTCTTTGCAGTGTCAAGACGGTTTTCCCAAATCCTGAGACGGCAAACATCACTAAATCATCTTTGCCAGGTAACTCTCCTCTGCTATGTGTTTGAACCACTGCTGAGTCATTGCAGATGAGGAGCATACCCACAAAAAACAACTTCCCGCAGGATCTGTCAGGTTGCGTAACAGGGCATTCTCACTATTATTTCTAATTTCTGCAGACAAGGAATAAAAACGTTAGACAATAGGTAAATAGTTTCGATATACAAAATAATTTCTGATAGCAGTTGCCCCTTAACCTTGCAGACATGTACTAGGTCCACAGAACCCAGGTTCTAGGGCACCACGTGTCTCAGAGCCAGCCAGTGTGCCCTGCTTCCGCCTGAGGGAACAGGGGGCTCTTTCAGCATTGACAGTGAGGAGTATGAAGCCATGCTTGTGGAGGCGAAGCTGCTCCCCAGAGAGCTGCAGTTCTTCTGTGACCCTAGGAGGAGGGAGCAGGGGCTGCAGAGCACAGCCCAGTGAGCAGGTGGGGACGGGTGCTCCGAGGAGGCCGTACTTCAGGCTACCAGCGGGACCAAAAGGGAACAGGTGGCTCAGCTGTCCCGGCAGAGCTGTCAGAGGATCCCAAGGGCATTTTCGTGGCAAGTACCCCTCCGCCTCCCTCCAGCAGTGCTTCCCAAGGTGTACTCTGCCACCACTTGACACTCAGCTTCCGCTAGCACGCGCTTTTATTTTGGTATTAACAGTCAACCCTCCTAAACACTGGTTTTCCTCAGGCTGGTTCAAGTAGTTCTCACATTCTTTGGATGGAAAAGGGCTTTCTTTTGTTTTGTCCCCAAGTGCAACCACAGTGGAGAGCAGGTTCCTCAGATTGTCTGTGCTCCCCGGTTCCTGCTCTGTTAAACTGTCCAGGGACTCCAGGGGCAGTGCCTCCTTTCCCCAGCTACCCTTTCCTCCCCCTACGCTCCCCCAGGGGTGCTGCTACTTTGTGAGCTCGGTTCTTGTTAGCTTTCGTTTGAGTTCTGTCCTCAATCCAGAAACATGTGAGGTGGTTTCCCTCTTCAGCCACGGCTAAGATACTATAAAATGCTAGTTTGCATGAGAACCATGTGAGGTGCATGTTGAAAACTGATTTATTTGGGGCCTACCCCAAACTTGGTAACTCGATTTGGGGGTGGGACCTTAAAAACTGGCCACTCTTCCTAAGGAGATTCTATAAGTGGTCCCTCAACCTTAAGTAGAAAAAGTGTTTCACAGCAGTCGCCCTAAACTATTCTGCTCATGTACCCCCAAAGTATTTTGAAAAATCATGTGTTTCCTCACACATCTAAGTTGATACCTAAAATTTTTCATGGGAAGTTAAATAGTTGCCAAAGTATGTACTTTCTGGTGTCATGTAAATACTATTTTAAAATAACTGTTACATCACTCTTTTAAACATATCCAGTGTAATTTAAATACCATACCAATTTGACACCCTTCATTCATATATAAAAATAAATGAACTAGTTCTTTAGTAGAAAATTAAAAAAAAAAAAGAACCCAGGTTCTCTGTTTCCCATAAGTGAGTTGGGGTTTTTCAACCACAATTTTGGGCTGGATAATTCTTTGTTGTGGGGAGTTGTTTGTGCAGCATCCCTGGCCTCTACCCACGATGACAGTAGTATCACACACCTGCCCCCAGTTGTGATGTGTAGCCTGGAGGGTAAAATCCACTGGTTGTGAGCAATGGAGTCAAATGATTCCACAGATGAAGAGGATTTGTTTGTGTATCATCCAAAAGAGTTCAATGCCCCATAGTATATTAAATATTTGCTCAGTTTTGTTTAGTTTTTGTTAATTTGCATTATTTTTAAGCACAAAAGTGACATATGCTTTCTATAAAAAAATTCAATCATAAAAGTATATAAAGTAAAAAGGGAAGATCCAATTCCATGCCCCTGTCAGCTCCATAGTTATACCTTAATAGCAAATAATAGCATTTCTATTAATTTTGTACCATAATGAAGAGAATCTAAGTCTGAAGACAATCTAAGAGGCATTAAACTAGTGGCCATGGGCCAAATCTGGCTCTCAGATGTGTGGGGCTATTGTTTGATTTACATATGTTCAAAAATTTTTTCTGGCCAGGTGGGCGTGGTGGCTCACACCTATAATCCCAGTGCTTTGGGAGGCCAAGGAAGGAGGATCGCTTGGGCTAGGTGTTTGTGCCCAGCCTGGGCAACATAGTGAGATTCCATCTCTACAACAAATAAAACAATTAGCCAGGTGTGGTGGTACATACCTATAGTCCTCCTTACTCAGGAGGCCGAGGCAGGAAGATCACTTGAGCCTGGGAGTTGGAGGCTACAGTGAGCCATGATCATGCCACTGCATTCTAGCCTGTGTAACAGAGCACATATGTCTCTGTCTATAAAAAAACCAAAAAACAAATTTGCTCTCAGAGCTATGATTCTCTAGGGCAGTATTTAGCTGATGGGCCAAACTTCTCTCCAGCAGCCACTGTCTTCCTCATCACACTGACTATCTCACATTTGGCTCACCTAGCTCATGTATGTCACATGTCTGCTCCTTATATGTCCTTGGGTTTGCAACCTCTCAAAGTGTTGTTGGTTCTGGGTTGGTGCTGGCTACTCAAGGTCAAGGTGGGAGGGAGGGGTTTCTAGTTAGAGTGGCCCGAAGAATGGCTCCATGCCAGGACCCAGGAAGTACAAGAGTACACCCACACACCCCTCACTGGTCCTGTCCTGCCTTTGGCATGAATGGCACAGAGGATGACTTAGAGACCAGAGGAAACCCTTCCAGATTTGTGCAAAGGCTGCACCTGGGCATTGTTCTGGGCACAGATTAATGGGATTCAGGGAAGAAAATGAAAGAAACACTGCCATATTTCTGAGGGCACTTCCAGGCTGGCCCTCTGGTTCATTTCTCCAGCTTGGAAGAGCAGGTCTTAGTTCATATCAGGGAATTAGACACAGTTGTGTTGCCTCGCTCTGAGGCTCGGACAGTTTAGGAAGGACTCTGTCCCTCTAATGCACATTTAGATAAAACATCCACACTCATGTCTATAACCACATGTTGCTCACGTACATGTGCACACACATACAAACACACAGTCCCTCTCCACTTGCCACACAAAGGTAGTGTGTAATTGAATTGGCAAATGCCACCTTTCCATCTTCACTGGACAGTTCTCAGACACATTCCTGGATCAGAGGACTAGGGTTAGTGCTGGGAGTAAAACACCACGGACTGTCTGAGCTAATATCCCAGCGACCTTTCCTAAACACACACATGGAGCAAGTCAGACTAAATAACATTCAACCGAAGACTCACCCCAAATACTGAGACCTAAGATCCACACACCCAGGCTCTTGCAGATGCACTAGGCAAGCAAGCAAGTCGGCATTCGCATCTCAGCCATTCAGTCCACAAAATCTTTTGAGTGACTACTGTGTGCCAGACACTATGCTTAGCAGTACTTGTCCTCAGCAGAAAAAAAAAGTAAGCCAATAAAATAATTAAAAGTGTGATAAGTCTTATGAAGAAAACAGAATGGAAACAGAATAACCAGGCATTCAGATCCTATTTAGATAAACTGGTCAGAGAAGGCCTTTCTTTGAATGCATGTGACACTTGAGCTGAAGCACACGTGACAGCAGGGTTGCTGGAGCAACGTGGCCAAAGAATGTTCCAGCCCGTGGGAACACCACATGCAAAGGCCCTGAGGTATCAACACAATCACTGCAAAGAGAACCGACCTGAATAACAGTGGCCACTTTCATTGAGCTCCCTGCACTCTGCACTATGCTTTTCAAACATTATCTTAAGGAATCTTCAACAGCAGCCCTCCTTAAGGGGTGGGTGCTAAGAACACAATGGCAAGACACACCGTGAAAAAGCATGTTCCAGACATTTGCTTGTAGAGTTCACCCTTTGATAAACAGTTCAGTTCACTGTTCTAAGGCAGCTCCCCATGCATCTCTGATGAAACATGCCCAGGAAAAAGAGGTAGGAAGTATTACATCTCCACTTTATAGATCAAACTGAGCTTAATCTACTTTCCTGCTCCAAATCCATCAGCTGGTCAGCAGTAAGGCCAGGATTTGAACCAGGTCTGTTTGAATCCAGTACACCTGACCTTTACATTCTGTTGTCTTCATTATCATTAGAGACTTACCTAACTCATATGTTCATATATTCTAAGCCTTTGTGACCTTTAAAGAGTTCTACAATTATTTAAGATTTAAATAATTTACTTAATTAAAAGAGTTAAATAAAAATATTTAATTAAGTAAGATTTCACTTGTGCTTAGACAATCTAGGTGTAAAAAGGGGTAGTCAGTATTTACTGTTGCCTAGAAATTCACAAGCATTAGAATACTTACAATGTTCTTGTGTACTTTAAATTTTTTAAATTTTATTAAAAGGCAATTTGAAAACATACAAGTAAAGTAAATAATCTGGAATATATTATATGTTTTTCTTTTATCAGTATTATTCCAACTTGGTGATGTTTCAAGTATTGTTCTCACTTGTAAATTTAAATTCACTAATGAGGGTTCTCCTGAAAAATCTACAGCTTTAAAGACCAAATATATATTTAAGTATATTTTATTTATATTTGTATATATAAGAATATATATATAATTATTCACATACATATACATACTCTAATATAAACGACTGAGTCTTATGGTATAGTTTCCCTTTTCCTCCACCTCAATTATTTATATTTGTTTTAATCATTCTATTTACATAAACAACAAAAAGCAAAAATAGAAAACTATAGCCTAAACTGCTTAAGAATGCATTTATATGAAAATACATATTTTGAAGTTTCTGGGATTAAGTCTATCACAGGACCCGGGGTCGCAGGCACATCCCTACATCTGAGCCTGGGACTTCTCAGGCTGTTAGGTTAGGCACATCCTACAAGATTATATCAGTAAGCCGACAGTCTCTGGGCTTCAGCCCATTGTTCTGTGGGGTCAAGACCAAAGGGGCTGGCTAGGAACAGCAGGGTTTGGTGTGGACCAGGCCACTTTGTCACAGGAGAAAACAGAGTTATAGAAAAATCTATAACTCTAGATCTT